AAAAAGTTTTGGTTTTGTTTGGTTTGTTTTTGTTTATTTCCGTTTTTTCTCGGTACAGTGTTGATGTTTAAATTACATTATCTACTAGGTTAAGTTCATACCTACACAAGAAAAGTGTTTAGAATGTAAAGCAGGAACATGTTTTCATGTAACTGATTTCAGTTATTTTAAAGTTAACAATATTTTATGAAAATTGACACATTTCCGCAGATCATGTTTTGTGTGTTTATGTTTAGAATGTAAAGCAGGGAACATGTTTTCATGTAACTGCTTTCAGTTATTCTAAAGTCGGAACGAAGGGAATAATGTATTTCCGTAGAGAAATTTTGGTGATTTTGATTAATATTTCTAGTGATTAATATTTGTCATTGTGACTTGGGGAATATATTAGCAAACAAGTGAGCAATTAAAATATAAGAATAGTATAACTAATAGCTTCAAGATATTGATACCAAACATATCAATCCTATGATTAATAAGAGTAGTCTCCCGAATCCCAGAGACCTCAGTACCTGCGGGTGTGGACCTGCTAACTAACAAAAACGTCTTCGGGTTTGTTTTGTGTACCAAGTTTTGAATATTTTAAATTACAAACCTACAAACCATATTTTTAACATAACTTAGGTATCTTTATTTCATTTAAAGTCTTTATTATACAATTGGCCAAAATCGTAACTATTAAACTTTTTTGAACGACCTTGGGTATGTTAAACTATATGGTATATAGTTTGATAACATTTTCATAAATTAATAATATTGTCCGGTATTATCGGCATATCATATTATCGCACAGGATATTAAGATATGGTTATAATAATTGGTTCATCCTGTTATCGAAATCAGATCATATTCGGCCGACAGAAACTAATAGTTTTGGCGCCTCAGAAGCTTCTGCCTGATTTACTAGATACCTAGATATACAACACTCAGGGCATTATGGCGTATTACAGGAAAGTTACACTATGCATATACCGGGTGCGTCTCAAAAGTGGCTCACCCCTATAACTTTCTTATTTTTTCAGATAAAAAAACGAAATTTGGTATGTTAGTATATGGCATAAATTAGGATTGATTGACGTATTCAATTGTTTTTGGTCAGTTCCTGTTTCACCGGAAATGACTACAACTTTTGATTTTTAAATGACACCTTCGGCATTTTCTTAACTTTATTCGATAGAAAATGACATTCTGAATAGAATGACATATCATATGTCAATTCTTGACATTCTCGGTTAACTAAAATTAAATTTTTAAAATTCAATCTAGAGTGCCATGGTTATGTTAAAAACGCCAATTCTTAATCAAGGAGCATTGGAAAAATAGATTTGAACGTCTAATGTTTTTAGTGTCTTGTCCTGGCCAGTTAGAAAATGCTCAAATCGTATTTTTAATCATATTTCATTTTTTTCAAATGGAATGAGGATGGCTCATTCGTATATTTGGAAAAAGCATTTTTTTACGAATAATTTGATACCACACACTTGGTATTCCGAGTCAAATTTTCTTTACGAATCACAGGTTATAATGTCAAATATACCATATGAAAAAATGTCAAAAGTTGACATATCATATGTCATTCTATTCAGAGTGTCATTTTCTTTCGAATAAAGTAAAAAATACCGAGAGTGCTATTTAAAAATCAAAAGTTGTAGTTATTTCCGGTAAAACAGGAAGTGACCGAAAACAGTTGAATACGTCAATCAATCCTAATTTATGTCATATACTAACATACCAAATCTCGTTTTTTTAACTGAAAAAATAGAAAAGTTATAGGGGTGAGCCATTTTTGAGACGCGCCCGGTAGAGCGTATTATCTCAGTAAAGTGTAAACTGTCTAAATTATTTTTAATACAGTGAGACCGGATCTTTATTTATACTTTTTAAGTAACACAGTAAAGCTAACTTTTTAAAATAATTATTTTTTTGTATGGGAATACCAATAGTTTGAAGGAAGTATTTTTCGGAAAGAGATCTATATGTCCGGAAACGTTCTATCCTTTTTTAATATTTCTATAATTCTTGTTAACTTTTGACAAGTTTTGTGTCAATTTTCAGTAAATGACGTATAGAGATTGACCTCTCCAAAATTATCATGGATTGGCATTCCCCAGCCGTCTTCGACGCCGTTTTTTTTTCGTTCATATGTATAATACAAATTGATTGCATATTATTGGTCTACGTTTTATTTATTAATAGATACCATTCTATGTCATATTTCTGTGCTTCATTACTTATGATAATTTATGATTCATAATTCGTAACTTATTCTTAATTCTGGTTATTACAGACTATTATTATAGTTTATACATCTGATTCTGGCAACTTTTAAAGACACATCAGTTGTAACTCATCAAACTGCACTAATAAAAGATATATAGTAAAATTAATAATCTAAAACTTTTTTTAAAAATAAAATTTCTTTTTAAAAGTTTATTAAATGAGAATATTTCAACTCATAAGTAATCTGAGAATATTCTCTAATTATTTTTAATTACATCAACTCTAATTTAATTTTAAACATAGTTTCATAGTCATAGTACTAGGTATTAAAAAGTTTTACACTTCTGCATACTAAATAGGTTTTGGGGAATAATTTCTTCTGAAATTTTAATATTAATATAATTTAACTACTTAGTTAAATTGAGAGTTAAATAAAGTGTTTTTTCTATATTCTTATTAACGTAGATTCATCTATAATTAAGTCAAGTATATCAATTTATTTTATATTTACTTATAGGTTTTGACTTATATTTTTTGTGAAATCGTCATATTTTTCAGTGTAAAAAAGTCTTCGACATACAAAAAAGTACTTACATAAACGTAGATTATTTTCGACAAACCACTTTTATAAAGGTACATTTTGTCGGTTAAATTTTAAAAAAATATGTAGATTTTTACTACTAATTTTCATATTTATCATATAGTTTATATTGGATACTTTCTAACAAACACTCTTTTATTTTTATATTCATTTAATTTTAGAATAACATTTTATTTAGAGAACTTATTATTTTTTCTAATCAATTATATTTTCTTCCAAAAAAAATGATGATAAAACAGTTTCTATCGAAATTTTGGCACAAAAATAATTCAAATTTATGATTTCAGTTAACTATCCAGTCAACATATTCAATTTTTGTTAATAATTACGTGTATCGATTATTTCGATTCCAAGTATCTCGAGAACCATTACTTAGTAGGTAGCAATTTTTACCAAGAGACCTTTTTTAAGCCAAAAACGGCGAGTATATATTTTTTTTCACTCAGTAGTTTTATACAGGTACCGACGAAAAGTTAGTACTCTTCTAACCAGTTAAAACATATTTAGGTGGCGTCCCCTACAATTAGGAGTCGTACTGACTTATCGATTTTGCTTATCTCTATAGAGCATTTTTATTGACATAGCTGGCCATATTACCAGGACTTTCTGCCCCCTACCCATAAAACTAAATATTTCTATTCCATAGTGAATTTCGCCGAGCCACAATCGAAACGAAATATTATGCGAATAGACATAAACTGGCCAGTAATCCAATATTATATCGCTTTGATAGGGAGTATAGGGAGCTTAAGGGCATTCATATACCTTTCGACGTAGGATATAGGTTGCCAAGGGCCTGCTATGCAAATCTAATTTCCTTAGTTAGTTGTGGTGTCGCGTCGGTGTCAGTGCATGTAGGGACGACTGACGTTGGGGGGATCGATTTTCTGGGCTAGAGGGAAATTCAAACGTCGAGCAACGCTAATCTTGTCTAAGCCATAATTGAATATGCTAAGTAGAATCAGTCAATCTAACCTCAAACTACACACACTGGCGGAAAATAATTATCTCTAAATACATGAAGATCAGAAGTAACTCATTACGTTAAAATATCTGGGAATAGTTTCGTACTAATATACAGAGTGATTGGCAGCGTTGATGGGTTAGTTAGTTATTCTATCTCTTGCTTTTGTATTACTCTCTCGAAATTTTAGTCATATCAATATGGGAATTCATAGTCTAGCATATATAGTCTAACATATATTTTTTCACAGCGAAGAACTACAGTACAGTACGAGTCTTTTTAAAGTGAAACATCTACACGCGCGCTGGGAGTAAAAATTCAAGGCCGTAATACGACACGCTACACGTGAGAGGAAAAGTGGTAAGGACAGCATACGCCTTAGAAAATATCGTCCTATTTAAATGAAATCTGGTATGTCGATAGATTGGACTTAGTCCAACTTGACCTTCTATGACACGTGTTACTGTGACAGTTAGCTTTAACGTAAGAAACGTCAAAAGTGGATGTCGTAAGATTGCGACCAAATTTGGTGGGTAAGCTGTATGAGCAACGGTGCTTATACGGTACTACCATGCAAAGTTATTATGACGCGACGTTTCTTTTACATCATGAGTCTAGGACTAAATTTTTATTAAGAATGTATTTTTTCTCAAAATGTCAATAATAAAAAAGTTTTTCCTCTTGTAAAGACAATCCGGAGATATACTGAAAATTATATATTTATGTAAACTGTATACTGTATGTATAGTTTAACCGTAATATTACTTCAATACGATAAAATAAAGTACAAACATGTATGTCATTAAACGTTAAAATGCTCTTTAAACGTAACATTACTCTAGTGACTGTGGATATTTTATTTGCCAAGAATCTCCATCCAACGTATTTTGAGACTGAATTTCAAGGATAATAAAATGCTTAATATCACACTTAAACTCGCTTTATTGTCTTATTTTTCTCTTCCTTTCTACTCTGGATCTTGGCAGCTTTTATAAAAGATCAAAACTCGATTATAGTTTGCTTTCTTTATAAAAAAGAATATGCATAAAATATTTAAATGTATAAAAATGTCTTATACTTTTGCAGTTTTTACTAAAAGAAATAAAATATATTATTTATTTTCAAGTAGCTTTACAACATACTGTCCTACCACCAATACTTTTTTATATTACTGTAATATTCATAAAGTTTTAATGTATTTTTTTTTGTTTGCAGGAACAAAGTCACAAATCGTATCGTCCATTCTGCGTCTTGACCTTTCGTCTGAATTACCTATGGGGTCAGCTCGAACCATTTGGTTACCATCTGGTTAATATGCTACTCCACTGTGTGGTCTGTCTTATGTATTTTAGGTAAGTATTTTAGAGTATTTCACCACAAAATATCATATAAATCTATGTAACGAGATAGAACTACTACCGTATGATTTCAACCAAAAAGGGATGTACACCCTGTACAGTGTATACTGTACAGGGTGGGTCAAATTCGACGCTTTTAAATGGAAACACCCTTTTCTATAGGAGATAGAAAAATACTAATATTGGTGTCTGGAGCTCAATTTTTGTCAAAAACATGATGGTGAAAACCGCACATCGATATTTGTTACCGTTTCGGAGTTACGGGGTGTTTTTTAAAAATATGCATTTTTAACAAATCACTGTAACTTTTTTGCTATGTAAAATTTGGTATTTTTATGGAAACATTTCCAAAGCACCTTTTTACCTAGAATTTAATAGTTTAAGTATATTTTTTTTTAAATTAATAATTTAAGAATTATCAACAGAAAACTTTATTTTTTATATGGGACACCCTGTATATTTTTAATTTATTGAAAATAATTTAAAATTACCTTTCCAAAAATATAACACACTTGATATTTTGCTCGATTCCTCTTCGAAATATAGAGTATATAAAAATTCGCCAGCTTTAATAAATAAGTAGGCTTTGAACGGCACCGGCTGTAATGCAAAAAAAAATCTAGCTGGGAGCATCAATTAAAACGAAAATATTATTTGTTATGAGAGATGCAGACTTTTATATCAATTTAAAATATATTTAACCAACATCAACACATTTAAACTATATCTAATAACAATAAAAATAAATAGCAAACCAAGACATGAGATTTTGCTACAGGTGTTCGACATATCAACCGTCTTCTGTTATGGACAGACGGGGCAGTTTTTGAACATTTCTCGCGGAATTCATTAACTCAGTGCGGGGGAAAGATACCCTCTCATAACTTCTAAGTATTTCTAATTCTTGTCTAGATTATACGGAAGAATAAGGAAACTTTAGTCTTCCGCAAATATATCCATAGGATTAGATCCATGGGCACTAAGTCAGGCGGCCTGGACGCCAACGGCTGGGATCTTGGTTAGCTATTCAATTATTCTAGAAATTGGCTGCAAAAATTTGCTGATAACTTCAGCGTTCAGAGGCGGTGCGTCGTCTTGCTGGAAAAATATGTTTACAAGTTCCATTAAGGGCATATCATCAATAAGGGGTAAGGGGTCCAAAGCCTACTAGTTAAAAGTGGCGAACTTTTAAAAATTCTGTATTTCGAAGGGGATTATAACAAAATATCAAGTGTGCTATATTTTTGGAAAGGTAATTTTAAATCCTTTTCACTTAATTAAAAACATAGAGGGTGTCCCAAATAAAAAATCAATTTTTCTGTTTATAACTCTTAAATTATTAATTTTAAAAAAATTATACTTAAACCATTACAATTTACGTAAAAAGGTGCTTTGGAAATGTTTTCATAGAAATACAAAATTTTCCATAGCAAAAAGTTAGAGCGATTTGTTAAAAATGCACATTTTTGAAAAACACCCCGTAACTCCTTAACGGTAACAGATATTGATGTGCGGTTTTCCCCATCATGGTTTTGATAAAAATTGAGCTCCAGACACCGATATTAGTTTTCGTCTATCTCCTATAGAAAAGGGTGTTTCCATTTAAAAGCGTCGAATTTGACCCACCCTGTACATATATTTTAAGCGGGTAGTAAACTTGATTAAATTCCTCTCATATTAAGCATCACATCACAACTACCGTGGTAGTACTTACAGAATATAGACCATATATCCCTATATAATTCTAAATGCATTTATACTAGGAACCATACTTCAAACTTTAGTAAATATATTTAATTAATTATAAACTTTAATACGTGATATTCTTCAATAATAAAGTCTACTTATAAATGAATATGCCCTTTTTAGGAGCGTAAAACTTGCTAATAGTACTTTAACTATAAAACTATGTTTACAATAATTAGATTACTGTACTACTGGTGGATTTAATCAGAAAATAATTTGAGCAAAATTCCTTGGATTAACTATTTGTATGTAACAAACAATTTGTAAAACACACATATACCAATGTGTTTTCGTGTATATAGAAATCCAGATTTTAATATTCCTTATTTGTCGGTTTTGTTTCCATGGGCTACCAGTAATCAATATGAAATCTATAGCGGTAGAAAGTTAAATAAAGAATATCTTATAAATTACAATAAATATTGAATGCTGCTAAAATCTAAATATTAAAGTATTAAAGAGGTCATAAAACAGGCTCTTTGTTACATATTTTAATACTAAATTTTCTGAAATATATCTACCAATGAATTATCCATTATATTCCTCATTTTTTATTTGTCTTACTACTTTAATATTCCTTCAAAAATGACTAATGTCTAACCTTTCAAATCAACAAATTAAAAAATATTTTGTTATAAATTCCTCTAGTTTAAGCATTTTTTGTCTGTCGGTAAACTTGTTTTGCTATACGTCAGTAGAATTTAGAATTTAGAATTTAGAATTTCTAAATTCTATACGTCAGTAAAAAGCAACTGAAAGACTGGTTGCCTTTGGGATTAAACGAAGTGGAGTTTAATATTATTATAAGTTTATAATACATTAATTATTTTTATCGATATAACTAACGTTATATCGCTTTTCATTAAAATCTTAACATTAACAAAATATTTTCAACTTTTCATTTTAATCTGCTGTACCGTGTGGTGCATCGGGATACAGGACTGGTGGTAAGATATTATCTCCCCAGACGATTTTATGCAAAAAAATTATTAGATATTAAATGCAACAAGGACATCACGGCACTTCATATGATTATATCAAATGACTTAATCACCATTAAATCTTGGTGCGATTCGAACCTCCTGAGTTTCAACATTTCTAAAACTAAAGCTTTGTCGTATAAAAACTCGTTGCAGCCTTTTGTACTTAACAACACCACCATTGACGTCGTCAAGTCTGTAAAATTTGTAGGGCTTGTTGTGGTCAATTCTCTGAAATGGGACATACATATCGAAGCTTTGACGAAAAAATTGAGCTCTGCCTGTTTTGCATTAAGGTCTGTTTCTAAGGAGCTTAACTTGTCAGTGGCTAGAACTGTTTATTATGCACTTTTTGAGTCGCACCTCAGGTATGCCCTTCCATTCTGGGGTAAGTGTTGTGCGATTCAATTTGACCGCATTTTCAGGCTCCAGAAGAGAGCTGTTCGATATTCAATATAATCGAGTTATTTTATTTAATAAAAAACGGTATGTGTTAATACAAAACAAACAAAAACAAGACACCACAGACCAAAAAATATAAAAAATAACTATTTCTTACTTTCAAGCTTTATGAAACTTCTCGCATTTATGATTATATTTATCAATATAACTTATGTACAAATACAAATTTGTAATATTCCGCAGGAATAAATAAAACAACATAAATAAAACAAACTATTTTATTAAAAATAACACTTACCAAATTTTATACCTCACAGGTTGATTAATGAACTTTAATCTTAATTTTTTAAACCAGTACCTTTAGTCATTATTTTTCTGCAGTACTAAAATCCATTATTTACCTATCGTGTGATGTCGATATTTTACAGCTACTCCAGTTTTTAGTATGTGTTTAGTATGGTCCTTCTACCATATTCGAGATGCACTTATCTACGACGAGATGGAATACGAACTTTATTGATAGTAACTTTATTGGTGTATTTGTATAAGACTTTCTGCCTAGGCAGCGACTATTAAACATAATCTGTGCTCTGGGTTCTACAGTTTTCACTCGATTTTTCCTCCACTTGACTTCAAAAGACACAAAACACTCGTAAAAACACGAATCAAAATTCATCATCTTCCAAAACGCAGGGTATTTGACAAAAGTCGTCACAAAATTATAACCTATAATTTGGCAAGACTTTGACAAACGTCAAAAATCTAAAGGCGGGTTCATACGCATCGGCGTCCGTTTGTCGTTCATCGTTCCGTCAAACCAATAAAATTGAAATACGATCTGTCATTTTTGAAATAAACCAATAAAACTGGTTAAAAACAACAAGTGACGACGCATGACGAATTTATATTTAAACCCATCCATAGTTAACTTAAAAATTATTAGAAACTTTTTATAGTAAAATAAATAGATTGGTATGGGACGTCATCTGCTTTTCTTCTGTCATCGTCTGTCGAAATCTTACCTGAGAAAAAAAACAGAGTATAGTTTATTCTTTAAACTGTTGACTTATATGTATAGGCTGGACGGAGACTGAGCTGCGACAAATCTAACACAGCGGGAATACTATTGTCATCAAAATACCGTTTGACAATCGTAACTTTTTTCAGAAGTTGCGAAAATTTTAAATATTTTATACAAAATTACTCTATTTGGTACCTTCAAATTTTTCTAAACAAAATGTGACATCGAATTTGACAATGACACAATCACATTTTTGCTGGTATTTTAATTGTAGCTTTCTCTGGACACCGTATTATAAATTTTGTTGATTTGAAGGTAGATTTTTGCAAATAACTTTTAAATGACAATTCCAAATGACACGAAATTCTTGATAAAAGTATACAACTTTAACGCCTCTTCAAAAAGTCTAATACAACTTTTATATAAAATTATCTGAGGAGATAATATTTGATCTTTTCAAAATTTACATGGGATTTCCCGTTTTCCGATGTACCACATGGTAAAAGAGTAGTTTCTAGATTTGATAAACTAATGCATATTTTTAGAATACTTCTTTATTACACTGAACGCGAATTGGCAAAGAAATCTGACGTGAATACGGCATTATCGACGTTTCTGATTCTCCATATTACAGTTCGTCTTTTATTTGCTCTACCCAGACAGTCCTTATTCGCTTTAACGCGCTGACCGAATGTCAAACATTCGAATCTGCATATTCAAATAATATTTCCAAGTTTGGGAAAGTCCTCGACCTCTCAGAAATTGTGTTTGTGATTCTGCTTACCCGTGTGTGTGAATATGTAGCATACATTCGGGGAGGACTATCCTAATTTTCGTATTGAACT